ATGGGCAGTATCTCTTCAAGTCTGTTCATGTCATTATTCCTAATGTGTGCATTTTTACTAGTTGTATTGTTTATAGAGTTGTAAATTTCATCAAATAAATAAAAATAAAAAATTGAATGCAAAAGATTGTGTAGGTCATTTAAAAAATCCATATATATTACGAGCAAGAAAATAGATATACAGCGAATCCCATCTAGAATTTATAAAATATATTTTTTTGTTTTCAATATTAATAATAAGATATAATTATATTTTATTTACATTTCCTTTAAATACTGGGATTAATGAATTATTTTTTCGTTATAACTGTTGTCCATGTTGTGACGGAATAGAATTACTCGACAAAATCCATAAATTATACAATAATTTCAATTTGTAAAAAAAAAAAAAAAAATTAATGAAAAGTTTAAAAGAAGACGAATTTATATTATAAATGCACACATTAATTTAAAATTATTCTGCTTAACACATAATACCTTTTGCTACTTGAAGAAAATTAGCTTTGAACAGCTGATACGGAAGAAGAGAAGTGTAACCAGCATGAAACGTAATTATCCCCAACCTCTAGCTTTAAGGTGGTTCCAAATATATACTCTTGTCACCTTCACAATGGCTACTTTAAAAATCTGGCCAATAATACATTAAAGATATTTATTTTTTTAAATCACAATATAAAATCTTTGATTACTGTAAAGAGATTAAATTAAATATGGCATTTAGTGAGTTCGTAATAATAATGAATAAGGACATGTGATAAAAAACATGATAAAAAATTCTGATAACAGAATGTTATAGTTTCTTACAAATCGCCCTTATAAAACTTATTATTTTTAAATAAAAGTAATTTAGCTTGATGTTGTTACATTTATAAAATAACTTAACGTGTTATCCCAGCAGCTATTACCTAATACTACAATCTTATTTAGAAAAAAATGATTTCAAAATTCGGCAAACCTCATCTTTTTTCTCATATTTCTCTTCATAAGCTGGTGTTTCACAGGGCTCAATACTTGCATCTTTACTGTACACATTTTATAAATCAGATCAGCCTATCGCCTTTATATACAAAGTTTGAATTGGAACGAAGCAGTAAAATATCTCGAATTGATGTGGTCGTTTGTAGTATTCAAAAGCCAAAATATTAAAAATAAAAAGTCCTAAAATTTCGAGATTACGAACCATATCACCTTATTTTTTTATATATGTTTGCAACCATGTATAATAAAAATCAATAAAAATAAAAAACATTCCCACATTTTTCACATCATAATTCCTGTTCCAAACTTCAACTGATAAGCCTAATATTAACATACGACTGATATGGACACCTTACATAAGACAAAAACTTAACTTAAGACTCAAAGTATTGTTATATCTTTTAAATAAACTATCGAAAGTACCAGTTACTTAAGAAGACAAAATTTATACGTTATCTACTGAGGCTTATTTGGAGTTACGATTCCCAAATAATCGGAAGTGCCAAAAAAAAAAAAATAGATATATATATACTCAACCTGCAATAATTTTAATTAAAAGTAATAAGATTTCTTAACGTAGCTCTCCCTTACACAGACTTCTTTTTTGTTCCATCGTCGACCCAAGACTTCCATTGAAGTCCTATACTATACAAAGACCTCAATATTCCATAAGTACAATCATCCCTTTAATCCAATAATCCAGGGAACAACACGAGACTTGTAAGAAACACGTTTAAGAAGAAGCTGGAATATGGGATCTTCTCAATTAACATTCAAATGTTAATTTTTAGTGACAGTTATAACTGGACATTTATCTTTATGAAATTATATGTCATTGCAGGACACATGCGCTGGTTGTAATTAATTTGTCATAGTTGGGAATTAATTAAATAAAGATACAATATTGGAGCCAGTTCCTTTTGCTTCCAATGTTCCATTTAATGAATCCGAAGTTTGCTGTATACCTTTTCATATTTCTTCTCAATATGTTTCTTTATTTTATTTTATTTGTTTAATGCACACAGAACGGCCTCTCTTGGGTTAGGCATACCAGGATCACCCATACACCATCCTCTTGCACTCCCTTAACTCCAGGAGCGGTCCTGGCCGATGGCTATCAGCCGGGATAAAGTATTCGCTGGGAGGGGATGAGGCGGGGCCGTTTTTTTTACGGGGGGCGGCCGCGGTCGGACTATCGCACTCTCCGCGATCAATATCGTCGCCTGCAACTTTTTTCGATACCCGCGCGTCTTTACTCCTCTCTATCCCGCTTATATAATGTGCCCTTCGGAGCTCATCTGGCTCCGTTATCGTAAAAATATCCTTATTTTGTTATAGCATCTTGACAGAAATAACCTCGTAGTAACAGCTAGACAGAATATGGCATATAAAAAGTATAATTTTCTTTAAAACTGAATGTAAACGAACTCTCTTAAGGTGTGTTCTAGCCGGCTTGACCCTATTATTTTGATTGAAATACTTTGGACGTTCGAATAAAAAGCTTTGAGTGAGTGAAGTTTGGAAATGGTCATCAAGAGTGATACTTTAGTGCTAAATTGTTCCTATTAAGTAACGATGGATTAATGTTGGAAAAGAAAATTCTTTAAAAAGTATCAATCTAGTCGCCCTAAATTGATGGGTAAACGTCCGAGGGGGTGACCGAGGATTGTATTAGGTTACTTCGGTTTTGATCAATTTCAATGAGAAACAAGTAGACATCGTTTATGATTGGTTTCGGAACCCATTAAATTACTATCGTCAAATTAATATAGTAATTTGTTATTTTGTTGCGTTGTCATCATATTGGACCATCTTTCAGTATATTAGTGGTCGTTTAAAGCATTCAAAAGGAAAATATTTTAAAAAAACAACTAGAATTTCGAGATTTGTTGAGTGCCAACTAATTCCGAAGCATATCACCTTACTTTTTACGTTTTCAACCATGTATAAAAGCTAATAAAAATAAAGTTCACATCATAATCCCTGTTTCAAACTTCAGCTGATAAGCCTAATATTTTTTAAACCAGACTGCATATTTTTTAAATCAACGACTTTGGCTTACAAGGCTCGTCATACTTAGAGTAACATACACATTGGTAATTCTAATTAAACCTTCTTCAGTTACTATTATCATTTTAAGGCTCTGGCTCCAGGGCTTACGTGGAGTTTATAGTTAATGAGTCGGAGAGCAATGTCGCTAGTTGTAGCTTAGCTTATTATTCGTGCACTGTTTCAAGTTTTCGAACTTAATACTTTCTGAATGCTTTTTAAGCTCAGTTAATTTCTAAATATTTACTTATTTCTATTTTATTTTCAAAATGAAACTCAGTTACCATCATAAGCTTCTAATTTGTCATGATTGCTGGAAAAATATCTATATTTTAACACGAAGCCGGTAACATCCCACTCTAAGCTTCCATTATACAGACTAGTAAACATGTTTTGATATTGATAAAAAAAAAGTGCCATTCAAGGTTTCGATAAAATGTGCATGGCAAAACTCCAAATTTCTGTTTCCTTTCAGTGCTTCACAACCCACATTCTATCATCTCCCTTTTTACACCCATGTCCGTTTTTCTCAATAAATATAAACCTTGAAATTCTTTTGAAGTGAATTCCATTAGTTGTAGTAACGAAAGGTTATTTCGGATAACCGAAATGTCGGTATAATTGTTGATGTTATTATATATAATTAATAAGATTTTTTATTAATGGTAATTTTATTGTATCGTTTTAAATTGTTCGCCCAACAAGTTGATTTAATGGCTCCATTCTTGGAGCCAAGCAGGGATCTGCTTTAGGTCAGTAACTGATAACGTATCTATCGACTTCGCGCTGGCCATTGCAAATATTCAAGACTTGAACGCGACAACTTTCAGAATTAACCTCGCCACTTTAATTATTCTGGATTATTTTAATATATTTTATATTCTCTTGTTAAATGACTGGAATAAAATTTATATTAAAAAATATAAATTGTTCTTAATATAAATAATAATAAGTTGATTGCCATTTTTAATAATAATCACAACTTGCCAACTTCATCCTTCCATAAAATTACATTATATTAAAAGTACCAGAAACTTTTCAATATAAACCATATGAATAGAAAAATCATTAAAATAAAATCCTAATCATTCATTAGAACTCTGTTGAGGACATTTTACAAAATTGTCTTTGCTGTTTTAATAAATCTTTAATTCCTTATGCATTACACGAGTTGGAATTATTCATAATTTATTTTTTTTAAAAACCTACAATACTGAATAATTAATATTTACTAAATTGGTGTATAACAATAAATTCATAATAATCTCATCATAACTCATCATTCATCATAATTTTTAAAGTATTTGAATTTGAAACATAGTCTGTTCAAAATTTACACTTTTCGACATTTCATAGCTTATTATTTACTATGTTGAACTATCCTAATTTAATTTTCTATTTCCTGCTAAAACCTGTCTTATTTACATATTCCTTATTGGCCTTGTCATTTAAGATCTCCATGACATTTCCCTTGAAACTGGCACAGGATTCTACTCATACAAAGAAATGAGCATTTTTTAATTCAATGCTTGGTCTTCATCCATACAAATTGGTTAAAAGGCAATATTTTCACATAAACTTATTATGTCAAGAGTTCATATGAGGCTGATGTAACTATATGCTATTTTAAAATTAATTTAATGATATGAGTTTTACTGTTGTTATATTACATTAATTTATTTGCACAATCAAATATAAGCAAAATTAATTTTGAAATTTGAATATAGTACCATCTTGTTTTATTTTTCCATTATTTCTTGACATACAGTCCATACTAAATTATTTTCTAAATAGTTTCCAAGGATTTTCTAAAACAAAATCCTATTCCTTGTGTTTACATAAACACACTTAAATAAAAAATGATAGTTGAAACTTCAATAGGTCTTTTAATAATTATAATTTTTATTTTCTATATATGTAATCCATTTTCATTTTGTAGTATTATAATCAAATATTTATGATTTATTTTTTCAGGCTACAATGACTTCCCCTGATGGCTATCAACTTTTCAGCCTCGTTCGCGGCCTGCCTTGCCGCAGGCATAAAGGTACCGAGGCAATTCATGTACTGCATTGCACAAGGTAAAAATATACTTCCCAATATTTCTTTATTTCTTTTCTCCAACTAAGAAAAGTGAACAATATATATTGTGTTCCAGATACCGGTGCACCATATGTTTTGTACAAGGATAGCGGAGGAGGTGCTGGTGGAGACTGGGGCGAATTTCCTCAAAGCCCTGAGCCCAGCCTCCAGCCAAGCCCTTCACCACCATATCACAATAGTACAACACCAGGTCAACAACAGCAGCAACCACCACAACAGCAGCCAGGGCAGCCTCAGCAGCAACCTCCACAGCAACAGCAGCAGCAACAGGGGCCTCCACTGCCTCAGCAGAACAGTTTCAACACAACCCCTAACCGAGCTCTGACACCTCATCGCCCTCCCACTTCTCTGGTGCATCCAGGACCTGTTGAGGATGATGTCCAGCAGCAATCCCAATCGCAACAGCAGGCTCAACAGCCACCACCACCTCAATCACAACAACCTCCACCTCCACAACCACCTCAACAACAACAACAGTCTACACAGACACCACAACAACCAAACCCACCTCAGCCAACACCACAACAAGAATTAGGTGTCGGTTGTGATCTCAGCCAGAGCTACTATGGCGGTGGAAGGGGGACACAGCACATGTTATCACAGGGGTTCATGTCTTACCTAAAACAACCTGTTGTACTTACCTCCCTTAATCCCAATGATCCAGTACCTGACTATACAGGTGAGTACTTTTTAAGATCTAAAAATGTATTATAGTAGACATTTTGACTTATTTTTTAATTATAATTAAATATACCAATTTATTATTGACTCATCATTAATCAAAACTAAAAAAATTGAAATTTCAAACATTTTTTTTCTTTCGGCAAAAATTAAAAACCTAAACATATATTTCTTTTCCTTATTAAATTATACTCTTAAATGCAACATTACTATATATTACTGTCAAACCAGTATATTAAATTATACCTATTTAAATCTGGAAAATTAATTTACTCAACAAATTTTTTTTCATATTTATGTTATTTATATAAAATAAAATTATAGCCTTTAAAACAAAATGAAACTTTAATTAGTTCATAGAAACACTTAAATGGCTAATTCATTATCAATATTTTTTCAACAGGATTCCATATGACAACGGGCATGCCTGATCTACTGTCAGGGAGCTTAAAAGCCTCACCTGTATCAGGTGTAACAGGAGTCAAGTCTGAGCTCCGGCTCTTCAAGTGCCTCACTTGTGGAAAGGACTTCAAACAGAAGTCCACTCTTCTCCAGCATGAAAGAATTCACACAGATTCACGGCCATATGGCTGTTCAGAATGTGGCAAGCGATTTAGACAACAGTCACATCTAACGCAACACCTAAGGATTCATGCCAATGAAAAACCATTTGCATGCATCTACTGTGAAAGGACTTTTCGGCAGAGAGCTATCTTAAATCAACATTTGAGAATACACTCAGGTATGTCATTTTTAAAAATAAATTTAACTATTTGCAATGTTGGAAATTTATAATGCTTCATTTGCATGGTGACAGTTTCCATCATTGTCACAAAAATAAGACAGGAGCAATATTCTTGTTTACACATTGACAGTAAACCTGTTTACAGAAAAATGAAGGACATAAATCAGCTGATATGATTATTTTAACAAAGGAAATCCATTTACTGAAGAAAAAAAAAGGATTGTAGAGATTTGATTTCAATAACAAAATTTATATATAATAAATTAATAAAAATAAAATCAAATTGCCAAGCAAAACAAATTAATATAAATGGGAAGAAAAAATAAATTATATTGTTTTTATTCTTCCTTTAAAATTAGAATAACGTTAAAACATTTTATAGAATCAATATCAAGTTCAGAAATAACCAAAATATAACATTATATGAGAACAATGTTTTTCAGTGCATGTGTAAAGTCGATATTGTAAGATATAGTGTGACAGTTCAATAGTAGGCATCTACATGTAGCAGTTAATTTGACAATAACTCATGCTGTCTCATAGTTAACATCATGGCAATGGTACAACAGTTGCTTTACTTGTTTTAGTTGCAATATTTACTATTTTTGCAGTAATGTTCACCATGAAAATGAGGCATCAAGAAAAATAATAATATTTAAATCATTAGAGCAATTGAATAACTTGATTTTTTTTTTTTTTACTTAAATACAAATAAAATTTATTTGCAGATGTTAGTCCGCATCTGGTGTACAAGAATGGGCAACTATGGCCACAAGATGTTCCGTTTCCCCAGGACAAAGAACAAAATCAGGGATTTGATCTGCAACCAGATTCACAATGTTTTTCCCCTGATAGCCAGTTTCCTGCTTATTTTAAAGACAGTAAAGGTAAGTCTATAAAAATCACATTTCTTTCTTAATAATAATATAAATTCACCTTGTATCTCAATTCTTTCTGGTTTCATTTTGTTACTCATGTTATTTTCAAAAAACATAAGTTTTATTGCTTTTATTCAATCAATGGACCCTTATTAACATTTTAATATTAATGTTTTCATTTAGCAAAACATGACTCAGGTGAGTTTAAAAATTAATGAACTAAAATCATTCACGAACTGTTTGATCTTTATTACTGAGAGCATGCTCTTTATCAAATTGCATGTATGACATTTATAACTGGGCATGCAATTTTTTTAATTCTTTGAATTGTTTTCTACAAATATTTTGATTTCACAATTCAACCGACCAAGATTTTGAGAATTTAATAATCCTAGTTTCAATTGCATGTATCTTAGATTTAGATTGTCAAATAACTAATTTCATATTAAAACTACTATATTAAAGTTACAATTAATAATCGTTATCATTGATCCTTTAAAAACTTATTTTCATTATCTCAATCAACCTTTTCGTTTAAAACTAGTTCAGCAATACTACCATTTTTTGATAAATTTCATTCCCTTTTGTAATTCAATTTTAGTCGTTTTACTGCTACTAATGAACGATTCAAATGATTCTACAACGGAAGAAAAAAAAATAGTTATAGGTATTGTAGTGTGAAAAAACTTTCATTATCTTTTTTTCAGAAATTTTTAGTAAAAAAACTAGATTTCCTGTGCATTTCTTCATTTCCACTAGATTAATTAGTCTGTCCTCTACTTCTAATCCAATCCTGATGAATTCATTCATCAAACTGTAATACTCCTTTTATTTCCATCAATTCTTGTGTTGTATCGACCCAACAATTTTTAAGGACCTAGAATGGAACCCTCTACACGTTTCCTTCCAAATATGGATCGATTTCAACTACCAGTACTTTTAAAGTACCATGCTATTCCTGAATAAGCTTTCACTTTACTGTGACTATCATAAAATACCTAATCATACATTATACTACAATAACACAAGGAAATTGTCGGCTGAAACAAATTGGGCACCATAGGCAATAACCATTAAAATCTTATTTATTCATAAAGAAATCAATGTTAGTAATTTAAATACTTGCGTGAAGGCTTGAATTACTAGTACCATTTTCCCCATATTCTATATCATTTATCAATTAAGTGCATGCTTCATAAAAAGGCTATCTGTGTGCTTATATGCATTATCGATGTGTTTTGTAAATGCCCACTCCTGATGAGATGTTGAGCATAGAGTTTTATGTTCATGTTCAGATTTTCATTAAAATATTTTTCTCAGCCACGCTTTATTATTCTATTTATTCTTTATTAAATATGCTATTATTTTATTTATGTTATGAGGGAGTTCACACTCAGGTTCGAGTCAGGCTGTGGTAGGTAATTATCTATTGTGTTATATCAGCTGTGTACCTGCCCTGAGATCAGGAGGACCTGCTGGAGCAATCCTTTTTTTTTTTTTATTGGATTACCTCCGACCCACCATTTCTGACATACGGGGTAAGGGAAGAGTTGTTCTAGAGGTACAACCAAACCTATTCTAACCTGAGTGGGCAGGTTGAGTTCCATTCCATGGGTCCACCACAAAATAAAAGTCAACTATTCCCAGGCCAGATTCGAACTGGTGTCGCTCACACCATGTGCAGGGGCACATCTTGTCAACTAACAGGATATCCTTAATTAAATAAGAGGGAAAACCTGACAGTTAAATGTGATCTCTGCCTAATCATCTCTATGCACAACCGCTGGCCTTAAACATTACTTTCAAACTACCCTCCCTCCTATGGTTGTGGTCGTAGAGCTTTTTTTTATTATATAAATATATTTTTTGGTTAATTTATCTTTATACTATTTGGCTATACTATTTATACTTTATACTATTAACTAGGTGGCTCAAGTTCACATAGTAGAAAGTTCTGGAAGTTACCAAGCATTGACAGCTTGGCTGGCTTTAGTTGGAGTCCTACTGAAGATCAGTCTTCTTGTATAATTATGTACACACACCCGCTGTTGGGATTTTGTGTGCAGTATGATAAAAGTGATCTTGACCCACCTGTCAACCATATATGGTACTTGATATTTAGAACCCAAATAACTTCTGTTGGTAACCCAGTTAGAAATTCAATCTAGTATGATCAAGAATTAAGGTCAGGGGCCTTATCAAAGATTAGTCTGTGTATTATTTCGGACACACTCAGCTGCTTTCAAGGTTCTATGTATAGTATGATTGATCTTGATTCACCTATCATTAATAATACAGATGTGACAAACTAGCAACCTAGTAACCTCTGTAGTTTTCAACTTTTAACACTCTTATTGACTCAGAAATGATAAATTTGATGTTGATTTGGCCATTTTTCCCAGAAATTACATTTTTATAAGTTTGCTGAAATCCATTAACTTCCATTATAATTATTGAAGAACGTGACACTGCTATGGTAGTACCATAATTCAGCATTATACATCACTGTTAAATTGATTAATTCATTTTATTGCTATTGTTGATATGTTAATATACCTCAGTGATTTTCAATAGATTGACCTCAATGGAAAAGAATGCATTCAGTTGTCATTTTATCGAGAATTCTTCTTAGCAAACTTTAAACTTCTTCCAGACAACAGATATCCATAAAAACATAAGGAACCATAAGATTATTAAGAATAAAATAAATTCTTATTTGCTTGTTTTCTTCACTCTTATGATTCACAAACAGCTAATATCTTCAATTTAAACCAACTATTCTTTTTGTTTATTTGTTGTCATTTATTTTTAATTGAGCACTAACAATTTTAAGTCCTGTTTTCTTTAAATTGGTTTACTCTCTCTCTCTCACAACCCTCAACATTTCCTGTTAATGACTAGTTATATTAATTATTATTCATAAATATATATTTTGATGTGCGGTTGAAGTCATATTACTTCAAAGTACTTACTTCTTAAAGACCGGTATCAGACAGTTCTAAAAACCTTGCCTGTAATTCTGAATCAATTGAATCCATTAATGTTAATTAGTTTTCATATTTATATAATGAACACTTATAAGTTGCCACCCTAAATATTATTGTTGAAATGATTTAATAACTTCCGAGCAAATCGTGCTATCTGTCATTGATGTTCTCTTTGCAACCTGGTCACTACGTAACCTCCCCGTCCTTATCGTTCTTTTGACGTAAGATTGGTTGTCAATACTTTCTTTTTCTTTTATGTTTCTGTCAAATCTATATGCAGGTAAATATTATAGTATGAAGATCAAAGTTTTTTAAATATAAATAATACGTTTATATATTTATTTATTTATACGAGATAATTAATCCAATCACACTTAAGAAATGATATCGACATAGCAGGTCATTGAAATTAGCAAGATTTCTTTGCTTCCAACTTCCTTTTATGGTTTTCACACAGTTTCATTGCCGGTTCAGTAGTCAATAATATATTTTAAAAGACAGAAGTTAAAAGCTAGCAATTTGACCCTCACTGTTATATCTTGCATGTTGAAGGCTCCTCAAAATACATTTATCACGTAAAAACATTGATTGCAAGCTTGAAGGAACTAACAAAACTATTTAATAATGTTTTGTTTTTTAATGGAGCTGGTGAGGGAATAAATTAAGTATCCAGTACATTGCTTTGACTCTAAATTATTCTTATAACTTCGATTTTTTTATACAGTAGTTATTTAATAATTTTAGGCCACGTTTTTATAAATCATAATAAATAGGCTATTTCATTAATCAATGTAGCATTGAATCCTTTTAACGAAGCTATCCTAAATGAAACCTGATTGATCTTAAAAAAGTTCAATAAAAATATAATTTCAAGGAGGCTTTATTTTCTCTTCACATTTTCTCAGAACATGAGTTTATTTATTTTATTAGTTAAATTAGGTATTACATTACATTTTTATCTCATTATTTGTATCTAAAAAATAAATACCTATATCATGTAAATTATTTTATATAAATGTCATTAATAACTATCCATTGAAACTGTGGGAATATCGTCTTCTTTTAATGAAATTTCCATAGCTGAATTAACTAAATAAATTATTAAGGGTTCATAATCTGAATGTTTATTTTTCAAGATTTTTTTCAACTGTAAACGAAATTAATTTTATTTTTACACTTCATTCATATGAAAATGAAAATATGTTCTATAATTCTGGGACTGTTATCCCTTTAGAATAAATTATAAGTACAGAATGCATGCCAGTGTGGTCATAAATAAATTAAATATTTACAATAATAGTTAATTAAAAGTAAAAATCCAGAAATAAAGAAAGAGAGAAAAGATCAGCATATGCTGCAAAATTTTGCCCTATTATATAGCCATTTGCAATTTAATATGTTTTATTGTAAATTATTCAAATTCTCTTTTTCATCTCAACAATGAACTAAATACTTAATATTTTTAAGATTTACATAGTCAAATAATATCTTAAATGAATAGGCAGTTTAATTTCGAGCTTAGGAGGTCTGTTGACAGGTGTTGCCCATGGCGTTTTTGGCACTGGCAATGGGAAGACCCTTCCAGAGATGATTCAGTCTGGAAGAAATGCTGGTCTGCCACTTTATGTACGGTGTCCAATATGTCAGAAGGAGTTTAAACAAAAATCGACTCTTCTTCAGCATGGCTGCATTCATATTGAATCTCGTCCATATCCTTGTGGTGAATGTGGAAAGCGATTTAGACAACAGTCTCATCTTACTCAACATCTAAGGATACATACAAATGAAAAGCCATATGGATGTCTTTACTGTGGAAGAAATTTTCGTCAAAGGACGATTCTTAATCAGCATGTCAGGTAATTTTTGTTTCCTTATATTAATTGCCCTAACATAATAGCATTTTTCTAAATTTCTATCAAACAATGATTTTAGCATGATAAAAAAAGGTAAACAAAACTTTGCATTATTTTATTATAAATAAAAACATTATTGATTCCCTTTCATTCATTTACTTAACATTAGAAATGTATCCACTGGGAAAGAAGCGAGCGAACATAGTAACAATTAGTAGCAATAAAAACTATTAATTAGCACGCTGAAAGTATGTACTTGTTGTTCAAGGACTGCATTTGAATTCTAGCACTTATATATTCTGTTAAATCTAAAAACATTTATGTTTCTTAATTTTCTAATTTTTTGGGGTGTCATTGAGCGAAAGTTTACTGTACTGCAAATTATACCTGGTTTATTCTCCGAAGATATCTTACCCTTTGTAACCTTGTAGGAACAAACATGATGACAAAAGTAAATGGCAAAAACTATTGGCATTTTGCAATCATATTGACAAATGGGGATGTTCCTCTGAGAACGCAGTTCGCTTCACAGCTGAGAAGTCGGCCTCCCTGAAAGGTTTTCTCTAGCTTAATATTCTAATAATAAGTTTTGATTATTTATGTGTTTCTTTTAACCAGATATTTATATTCATTGTAGGAATCCTCTTTTCATGAAAGATAGACTATTAATCGCTATTGAAAAATCTCTTACCCACTTAATATTCTTCTTCTTTAATAATGTAATTTCTTTAAGCCCATCCGAAACGAGAACTTCTAATTTGTCAAATTTACTTCAACAAGAACATAATTTTATTTAAAACTATTATATTGGATAAATTAGTTGACAATATAAGAATTTCAGGGATTGGCACTACTCATAATCATAAAGGTTAACCAAAATATGACCTGATTTTTAGTAGTTTTAGAAATATTCAAGCTTTGGCGTTCTTCAATGTTTTTTTATTCCTGCTTATATCTTTAGCATTATTTATTTAATGTAATGTTATTTATTTAATAGTAATATTATTATTAAAAATATGAATGATATAGTCCTATAATATAATATAGTCCTATAATGATATAATAAGAAATGAGATAGTCCAGAGATTATACATATCACCACTAAATGATCCACTCCTATGAAATTATTTTGACAAACTAATAGCTATACTCCGTGTTAAGAATAAAATATATGTATAATCTGAAGGTCTACATTTTCTAATAAAATAGTTAGCAATAATAAGCCAATTACTAATACTAAATTCATATCATAAGTAATAATATTTATATTTTTAAAAATAAACAATTTGAATAACAATTTAAAAATGATTTACTGTGGAATAAATTTTTATTTGAAAAATAACAAAATCATTTTATGTAATAATCAGGTTGTTTGGAAATTTGTCCTTTGGAGGTCATTATTTTAATTTCCAACAATGTTTAATTATTTATTTTTTATATACATTATTTACTTGTCTGACATTAAAGTTAGATCTATAAATGCTTCATTTTTTATTTCATTTTATTTTTACTTATCTGGCATTAAAATGAAATCTTCTTTGTTTTAATTGCCCATACATTATTTAATTTACCCGAGAAATTAATTCATTGTGGGAGTATTACTAAAATAGGTAATACCATCCTTTTTAAATATACCGTAAATTATATGTATCTGTAAAAGGGAAAAATATAGAATGAAGAACAGCAAAGTTTGAAATATTTATTTTTTTGAAAATTCACTTTTGGAGGAAACTAGAATGCTAACTCCATAAATTTTGCTTTTGTGACATGACAGCCTATTACAATATTAGTAATAAATAATATTTCCAATTTAACACCTTTATTCACATACAAACATTTAACCAAAATTTTGGATTGTTTCTCCATTTTCAGAGAACTTCCTAAGATTCAAGCCTATAACTCTGTACATTTGATCACTAATCTTTATAGTTATGACAAAATATATTTTATAGATTATTAGAACTATGAGAATAATTGCTAAGCAATATATCGACAGCCACATTCCAAAAGCCAGTAGGTGCAAAAACTAAAATTAATTATAACACAAAACAAATTTTTTATTCTTTAATTGTGGCTTGATGTTAGTGAATTGAAATTTAATTTTTAAAAAAAGACCTCTTCCTGTATATTTCTTTATTTTTCAATTTTGCGCAACCGGTTTTGGTTCTTCCTCTCCTGCTTGTCAAATGAGGACTGGCTTGCTTGTCAAGACTGAAACCAGTTGCGCAAAAGTGAAAAATAAAGGAATATACAGGAAGACAATGTCTTTTTGTTTAAATAAAAAAAAAAAAACTTTTTATTTTACAAACTAGATTTTCTGTTGAATTTTAATTAATATTTTAAATAGTTTTTATGATCATTTATTTAAATAATCTTTTTATGAATATTACTTTAGTTTTGTTATATTGTTTGAATCTTAGAAAGTACCCTAAAGATGGAGGAACACTCCAAAATATTGGTTAAATAATGTTATGTGAATAGAGACATTAAATTAGAAGTCATATTTTTTACTAATACCAATTCCAATTAGGATCTGGCCTGGAAGAGTTGACTTTAATTAAATTACAAAACCATAAAATAAATTATTGTCCTATTATTTTTGCTAGAATAGGTAGGTATATTGTAGCATAGCCTGCCCTTGTACTATTTGGAGTTGATAATGATGTTAAAGATAATTAACAAGTCTTATTTGAAACTATTACCTTAAGCAAATCAAGATTGACCCCTACATATCTACTTGCTGTCCTTTCTAAAACCCCATTTCAAAATGTTTAAAATTTATTCGTAAAGAGATATACTGCTGATTTTTTTACACACTAATTGAAGAGGGTTACTTGGCTCCTAAAATTATAACATTGGTCCAATGACTTGAAATGTTTCATACTACTATGTGTAGTTCACAAGTGGTAGACTAAGACATGATTGGCTATGTACAGAAAGAGAAACGCAATATGTTTCAATTAGGACGTGAAAATTTCTGTGAAAATATAAACATAAGTTATCTGGTATTTTACTTCTCCTCATGTTATCCTCAATTAAATTACATGTCTCAAACTTTTATTGCTGGGTTGCTTCTACTGGAATTATAAAAGTGACTGTATAAGAATGAGAATCTCTAAGTAGCCCAAATTTTATTTGAGATTAAGAAGAAAATTTCAATTTTAATTATTAAAACTTTCCTTTTTCATAGTTTTTGTAAGTCTGGCTGTGGGTATGTAACTTTGTACCAGAAATTGAACATACTTAGCTTAAGTGAATGTTACACTCCTTACAAGTGGTACTTAAACAAATTGCCCAAATTTGTTTATTTTCTGATATTTTTAATTTTATTTCCAACATCCTTACAATATCATAACATTTACAATATAATAATAATTTTAAAAAATAACATAATTTTGGTTTTCTTCAGTTCAGATTTATTTTGAGTGAAAATTTGTTTTTTGATATTTTATTTTACTTCAAAAAAGTTAAAGCTTGAAAAAAAAAAAACATAAATGTTTCTCGAAGAATATTTAAACAAAACCTGTTTGTTTCTTTGTTTTTTTACATATTGTTTTTAGTGATTCTTTTCTTTTATAGAGACAACTTTAAATTACAGCATTTTTTTATTCCCAGTGTTTTTAATGAGGCTTAGATTGTATCACTAATTCTCCCAGCTGTCCTACCGATTTTGTTCCACTTTTAGAAAATAAAACTCTTAAATATCAACATAGCGTAATCGAGATGCTTGGTCATCCATACTCTAAAGAATCTTCTGTGTAAAATCCAGAGTTTTCTGACTTCTGTCGGTTATAAACAATGCAGATTATCACAAAAATTCAAAAACTGGTGCAAAGTAACCTACTTAGACAGCATACACATAATTTGATGTTTTAACTTTATGTTATGGTGTATAAAGTAATATAAAATTAGATATATTTTAAAAAGTGGCATTCAAATTAGTAATGTATATATACATAAACATATCTGTCAAAGATTACTCTGATTAATGGAATTTTTCACATCTAATCTTGTTAAAATATTTAAATTAAAAGTGCTAAAATATATCACAATTTGTCTCTTCAGCCATCCTTGTGTATGTAACAGATTTATATTTAATGTATTACCTATCTCTAACTCAAATGCACTATGTAAGCCTCTGATTTATCTCAAATTAAATATTACTTTTGAAACTTAAAATTTACATAAGTTGACCTTTATTTTTAATCAAATGTAATCATATCAGAAGCCTTCTACATACACTTCTAAAACGTTGGTTCCTCCACAGTTCTCATCAAGAACTCAAACAGATTCAGAGTTGTGAGTTACCAACTTCTTAGCAGTGTACAGAAGGCTTCTGAGATGATCATAATATATATATATATATATATATATATATTTCTTTGCTAATTCTATTTTTGAATCTAAAATATCTCAAATTACATTCTTTAAATAACTCAGGGTTAAAAATATAGGTCACCTTATAAATTTTAATGGAAATTTTAAATTTCAAATTGAGAAAATTCAGGGGATTACATAACGAATTTGAGTTGAGATAAATCAGACACACTCCTCAGGGGTGCTCATCCACCCCCCTAGGTCGATGGCACATGAACCCGTCTTCCCCTCTCCAAAAATTTTATTACTCTCCTCTTCTTAAAAACAATACAAGGGAAAGTAGGATTAGACAAATCGTAGATCATATACAATTACACTTTCTGTAGTCTGTCCCATATTTTCCTACTAGTTCTCTGTTTCGAAACTTTTCACTCCGAAAATTCATAGCCCCATTGAAATTTGCCCTCTCAAAAATTCAAAACCCAGTCAAAATATGCCCTCCTCTAAAATTCAAAGCCCAGTCAAAATATGCCCCCTTAAAAAATTCAAAACCCAGTCAAAATATGTCCCCCTCAAAAATTTTGATGGCGCAAATTGCACCATGAAACCCCCTTTTGGACATCCCTGGACATATTCATTTTTCAATTTACCAATTTATTCCTCGTGACCAACCATAGATTTAGATTTTGAAAAAATAATATGTTGATTCTGAAACCTGAAAAATTTCTATTTCATTTAGCATTACTAGTGTCAATTTACATAAATGAAATAGTTACATCTGATATAGAATGGAATGGTTGATATGTTCATGAAAAGGAATATATTTTTTTTTGCAAAAGCAAGAAATGGTTCAAAAAGAGCTTTTATTTGATTTATAGGTTACAATTTATTTCGAGTTTAATTGATTTGTAAATGATAAATATATCAACATTCAAGTTTTCTAAAAATAAGCGGTTCCAAGAGAAAATTTTTATAGATTTCTTTCAAGTAATCCTTGACAATAAATCTTCTCCGAGTGGGATGTTTTATTTTAATTGCATTTATATTTTATTAATGAGATTTCAGGATCTAGATTAAAGTTCATTATAAAATTTGCTGATACTTTTAATGTGCAGTAGTTGTGTTAATATAAGGATAATTTCCAGGGGATGTTAAAAAAAACATAATTATTTGTCTGTATTTATTTATCAATAAAAAGCTCAAAACTATCTGAAATCATTATTAAAAAATCAAAACTCTGTATAATTGAAGAGGATGGTTGGGTGATCAGTCAAATTAAAATGGTAAAAAATAAATATTTTATTTATTCTTACTTTTAAACAACCATAAACCCACAATTAAAAAACTCTGAATAATTTTATTTATCTAATATAATTTTTTCCATGATTAGATTAGGATGTAAGAATTTACATACACTTTTTTGTTTTTAAATTAAACTAATTTCCCATTATAATTTTAACAATCCTCTGCCTATAACGTAAATTTCATTGATTAATAAATAGGTTGGTTGATTATGTGTTAATTTAAATTAAATGTAAGTTTGTTGTAAGGATATTAATTTAGATTAATCACTATTTACTTTGCTTGTTTATTTAAGGATTCACACTGGTGAAAAACCATATAAGTGTGCTCAGTGCGGGAAGGACTTTAGACAAAAAGCAATTCTCGACCAGCATACCCGAACACACCAAGGAGACCGACCGTACTGTTGTCCCCTTCCAAACTGCAGGCGTCGGTTCGCCGCCGAATCAGAAGTGAAGCGCCACGTAGAGAACCATGTCGGACCAAAGCGGAAGCCCCCTCCTCCTGGTGTCTCAATGAACCCAACTCCACTTGTTAAACCTGAACTTTATTTACCACAGTGTTATCCTCACCCAGGTAACTTCCAGCAGCAGTATACCATGAGTCAGCTACTTGGTTCACCACCACAGCCAACAGCGCTTGTTCAGTAACCTGAATCCTCAGTCTTCAGTTGACAATATACTAATGACTTCCAGTCAAAAGATATGTTTTTAATGATTTATACAGTTTGTTAATTAATGTGACTATTTTAGCAATGTCTTAAGTTTGTTTTGAGAACTACAGAGAACAACGAATTGATTAATAGTATTCTATGAAAAAAAAATTCTTTTCCCCCTTAAGGGAACTCAAATAAAATATATATTTGCTCCACAATTTTAATTGTTTATCCATTTCATATTTAGACAAAAAAAAAAAAAAAAAGTAAAAAACGGATTGTAAATTGATCAGCTAAAATTATATCTTTACAAATTATGCAACTTTTGCTCTCTAACAGCTTTATTTTATTGTTTTATGAATTGTCAAATTTTAATCAAGCCTTCTTGACTGGAGTTCCTGTCTCCATTTTTATTCCTAAATTTTGAATTCAGATTTAAGCATTATCATGAGTATCCGGGCATAAATGCAATACCTTAGGATTAGAATAAATAAATGAAAATCAGATTTATTTCTATGGAAGAAAAACAAATTAAAATTAAAAATTAAGTTGAAATTTTCCGTTATCCAACTTATGAAATTTTTTTTTGTAAATTATTTAACTTTGAATAAAGTTCCGTCGGATTATGAACAACTAGTTCATGAATACTGTGTGATAATGAGTTGCAATACGTAATAAATATTTAGAAATAATTTTCAGGGATGGGGGGGATTCGCGCAAAACAGGGTTTAGTAGAAGCGCGAGGCCATGGTATGAAAGCAATTGATTGCTTCGATAGATGATATATAAAATTATGTACAATTATTTTCCAATTGATATTAATTTTAGAAGAGTATTTTATAAGATGCATGAAGTACTTGCCATTTTATGACAAAATTCCTTATTTTGTATGTGTTTACATCACTTAAGTAATATGTACATTAATGTTGTCCTAATGTTGAATAGATTGTATCTGTATACTTATAATTAAGAGTATATATATTTATACATGTATTTATACATATCTAAACCAGTTTACATTCTGTATATGTATATGTATTTGTATATATATTTGTTTTTATAACAGTGTTTGAAAATTTAGAAAATGTAAAGATGACAGACGTAAGGAGGTTTATGGTGTTTATTTGTATCTGGTCTCTAAAAATATAATAATTTTGTGAAAGCATATCTCTCTATATAAATAACTATTAATTTATGAATTAATTGTAAAAAAAATTATATACAAATTTTCTACGACAAACAAACACTGTTTCATTTAGAATACTCAGGTATGTTAAGTAGATTTATATGTATAAATTTTGGGCTTCCTTGTAATATTGAACTAAGGAGGATCGAAATGGGATGCAATCCATCCAACCAAGGACACAAGGTGATGTTAGTTTAAGTAATGTATAATTTTAGTTGTACCCATCGACTCACAGTTTACACATTGCAGTATTGTAGAGTTAAAATTTTAAATATTTTAAAAATTGTTTTTATATTATAGAGTCTAGAATATATGCAACAATAAATATTTTTAAGTTAAACTTGGTCTAATACACACTTAAAAAATAGATATAAAAATGTACTTAATTGAAAATGGGAGTATGACTTCCAAAAACTGTGTAATTTATTTTTCTAAAAGAAAATGATAATGTTTTAACAAAGGTTTTATATAGTTTATGAAAGAAAACCAATCCATCATGGCAAGCACAGAAAAGGACTGAAGATTGCTGTGATAGATTAAACAAAAAAAAATAAATTAAAAATAATAAAAAAAGTTAAAAGGTGCTGATGAAAGATTAGTTTTAAGAATGTGTGTAGATATTTTTCATAATCGAAGGAAATATGTCAGTAGATGGACGATCTATATTACTTTTCTCGCTGCAATTAAGGTGCATTTTTATGATCGCCTGATGACCGGGAGCTCAAGTGTGCCATGTCGACTGTTTTAGAACGTTTAGATATTATTACCAATTAGACATTTTTGTAGTTTTTAAACTGTGTCAAAAAAGAAGATGGATTGGTTCAATTTGTTGACATTGAATGATGAATTTGATCTATTGAAAATATTAAAATTTGTTTGTTTTTTTTTATATTTTTTGTTATATAAAAGGACTTGAAGATTTTTTTTATATACCTGTATATATAACTTTTAAGACGTATTTTACATTTTTTTAAAAAATATTTTGTACCCCAATGTATTTTTCCTATTGATGTTAAGTTACTAAATGAAATGAGAAATGGTTATCAATTTTTATATTAAGTTAAACCAGTATGACAATCTGACCAGAAGCAATGCAGTATACGATATAGAAATGTATAAAAAAAAAGAGAAAAAGAAAAAAAAATCAGTTTTCCGTAATTGTATAGTCTAGTTACCGAGTTTGTGTTCCTTATGTCTGTCGTTTTAATACCAGAACACACAACATTGTTAAAAAAGAAATTATTTGTTAATTTTATTTATATAAGTTATGTTTGATAGATAACTACAGTCAGTAGGAATGCATTAACTTTATTTTAATAACTATGGCTTGACTATTTGTGCTAAACCAGGACTTATAACTCCTTTTTAATGCATACACACTTGTTTAATGCATAATTATGCAATATGGAATATTCATTTCATTTGCATTTTGTTGAATGAGGAATTTATATTACCATTTTAATTATTATTATGACCCTACATATAGCACAACAGATACCAGTTTTATTTAAATTTGAGCTCACAAGGAAAGGATACTATTTAATATACAACATTTTATGAAACTAATGCCATGAAGAAATAATCTCTTGGAACTATATTATTGCCAATCGGTGAAATTTTTTGAAGTTACCACTGACATCGAATAATGAAGATGTTTTAGTTCATCAGTATGTTAATATTAAAAACTCCTATATATAGTTGTTTAAATAAGTTATATATCCTGTTTTTGTTTTTTTATACTATTCACTACTGACTGTAGCTATTTTATTGAAAAATCAATTCAATAGAAAAAATTTGTTGGTTTATTTATTTATTTTATTTTATTTTTTGGCTTTGACTGTATAATCAGTTCACTAAGATTTTGCTCAAGAGGAAAATTCTTATAATTTCAAAATATTTTTGTTGGTTATCTCTTCTACTTTTAAACATTATTCTACAATTTAATGTTATAATAACTTAGATGACTAGTAACTTGCTTAATAATGCCATCCAGGACAGTTGATATAAAAAAAAAATTAAAGAAAGAAAAAGGAAAAAAAGCTTATAAATATAATGTGCTTTCTTTTCCAGTGCCTCTTTTGCCACTGGAGCCGTTGGATTTTCAGATTTTGTGTTAAAAGTAAGATTTGTGAAGTGGTCCAACCAAACTGGAATATTAAAGTGCATTTTAATGCGTTTTTTTTTTTTAATTATTGTTTTGCTATATTATTTTTTTATTTTCCTTTTTATTTTCACTTATTAATAATTTTACTTTTGTACTATTATAATTTTACTATTTGAATTATTACAACTTAAATAAATATTTAACATGAAATTTCATAGTTAAAAACATTAGATTTTTGATAATTAAAGATTTGATAACAATTTATTGCTAAACTTGTTTATTATGATAAATCTATCTTAGTCCAACAATAAAATTGACAAGAATATTGATTTCCTTGGTTGCCATCTATGGGAAATATTTGTAAATCACAAGAAGAAAATTTTTATGGTTACCGAAGATCAAATTTTCAAGAACATATAGTGCTACTGTCAGTGCAAAATGTCATAAGTAACAATATTACATGTTTATTATCTTTGTTCTGAAGATTTACATTTTGTAGTCTGCAACTGCCAAAAGTAGATTACTAAATAAGCAAATAAAATATGAAATTATATTAATAAATCATAAAGAAATACTCGATTTTTAGGCTGTTTAATACAAAAAAACTCAATTTTTACATATGACCTTTTGCACTAAAAGTAGCGATATATATATATATATATATATATATATATATATATATATATATATATATATATATATATATATATATATATATATATATATATAAATCGAGATCAAAAGAAAATGTATTATTGCCTCCTAAGGAGACTTAATGAACTAATAGGTAAGTGACTAAACCTCAAAATGTTAATTATATTGCACCCTCAAGGCAATACTATCGTATCTTAAAAGATTCATTTCCAAATAAATATCTAGACAATATCTCTAAAAAATCGAGTGACTGTATATAGCAATAAAGTGTGCCAAATTTAAATCAAAACAAAAGTTCTTGTATCAAAAAAACATATATCTCTCGTTTGAAATGGGGTAAAGCAGACAGTTGCTAGCTAATGTTGGAGATAGGTTCATGTTGAGAACATCTTGGCAGACAAGGTCTACAATTATTCTGTAAGTTCTAGGAGGAAAAAATGGGAGCGGAGTGGTCGAGCGAGCTAATGCATGTGTAAAACTCACATTGCCAGGCAACCAGGTAAACCAAAGTTAGTGATAAAATGATTACATGTTCGCATCCCTGTGCCGGGGAGGCTTTTAATTCTGGCATTAATCCTCCTCACTCAGGCCCTGGCCCCGGAAAAGCCCTGTATAGCCTAAAAGGCTAGGAAGTGATGAACCAAAAAACCTTCTGGGAAAAAACTAATAAGGCCCATGGAATAAATCTTGACCTTCTCACTCTGGTCAGAATAGGTTTGTTGTACCTCTAGAACAGCCCCTCATATTATCAAATCGTGATTTAAGAGTATCAAAAAAAAAGTTCTGGAAGAAACGCTATATCAGGGGCATCTTTTGTTTTTGGTTGGGAGAGGGGGGTTTCAGATACCCTGCCACCATGATTTTTTTATAAAGGAATGATTTTTGTCATCCAGAAATATGCACCTCTTGCCTGAAGTCAGCATCTCTCGCACCAACAAAGTCTAAGAAAAAGTTAATAGCAATCCAGCAGCTCTGCTGTGGATCACAGGCGGATCGACGGAGGGGGCTTCACGGCTGAAGCCTCTCCTCCCTCCCCCCCCCCAATGGTAAAATGTAACCATATTATATGGTAAAAAATTTGTAGGCCCAAGTTTGTCCATCGAAGGTATTTTTAGATTGTGAAGGACCCAAAGCGGTCGTGTGACTTTTCGATTTCGAACTTGGTTGTTTATATGAACACACAATTTTTGCGAAATTTTTTTCGATCTGTTCTTGTCTGTTCTCAAGATTAGGCCCAAGTTTGTCCGCCGAAGGTATTTTTAGATTGTGAAGCGACACGGTGGATGTCGCTCACCGAGATGCGTTGGATAGCATCTGGAAGCCAACTTACCTATTAACCACTGCATCAGAAAAAGTCCATTAGAAGGAAGATAATTTGACTACTCCTGGAGCTATTTCTGGGGATCTACACCGCCTCTATGAATTTCTCGAGAACGATTGGATGCTTTTTAGCGATCGGGTGGCTATTTTTTATTTTATTTTTTGGTTCTCGCCTTTTAGATTATATGGGAGTTTTTCGGGGCCTGTGGATAAGGACGGAGGATTCATACCAGAGTTAAAATCTTCCGGCATCGGGACGATTCATTTTCATTTTATCAAATCATGTCTTTGATCAGGTTGGGGAGAAACGGCGGTACTGTGCACAAGCGTTAGCTCCTAACGGTCTGTTGGCTGACTGCATCCTAATTTTTTTGAGGGGAGCACCTGTTCAATTGAATTCTATTCATCAAAGTAAAGAATCGTCAATCCCTTCTCCTTGAAAAAATTAAACATAAAATGTTTTGCTCACGTAAAGCTAAGGCTACAAATATTTAGATGTTTGTAATCCATATTGAATGATTATTCCTGGGAAAAGTGTTTATTTTGTGAAAGGTTATTTAATTCAACTAATTAAACTGTTGTATGGCAACTATAGACATAAATGACTATAGACAGTGTGATGATTGATAATATTATTGAGATAATCACCAAAGGACTTGAAGCCTACAATTAAAAGGGCATACAATGTTTCTCCTAATCTTTAATGAAAACCCGAAAAGAGTGAAGCTTACCAATACGAAAATAGTAGCTTTCTAACAGACGCCAAGCGTATTCAAGAACATTCCAGTTACACAATGCATAGGAATGAAAAGAAAGCAGTTATTGTGGTTTGTACATAATAATATATATACAATATGAGGATATAGTATATTGTATAAACAACTCGCCGAATAATACTTGCTCCAGAAGACAACAATCATTAACGAGTGGATGCATCTGGAACTTCGACATTCTTTGAGATTTTGACCAAGTTGTGGGGTCATGAATTTTTGAAATTGAAAGTTTCAAACTGAGGACAAGAGAAACAGGGAACAAACCGCAGTAAGTATATTGTATTTGGTCTATGATCTTTTAAATTTTACTTTCGTTTTGAGAAGAGGAGAGAAATAAAATATCTTGGAAAGGGGAGCGGGAATGTTCTTGCGCCATCGTCCTTGGGGGAGGGGTGGGTAGCCCTTTAGCCATCTAAACATGCATACAAAATTTGGTTATTAAGAAAACGAGTAAAAGGACATACAATTCTCTAGCTGAAAATAATTTTTCCACAAATGAGTGTAGTAATATACGCATATCATTGTAAAGCTACAGATTTAGAAATTTTAAATCTATCATATAAAGCTGTATTGGGTAATGGAGAGGAGCGAAAGAGTTATGAATGATAATTTCTAGAAACTAATATTATATAGCTAAAACCAAATATTTCTATGGAATGAAAATAAATGAAATTTTCAAATTAAACAGAAACTTTTACGATTATGTTTAAGGTTAAGTCAAGTTCAAGCTTAAACTCCAATTGTACAACTGGCCCTAAACATATAATGCATCGAATTGTCATTTCTACCCCCTTTGAAAATATTGTGTACGTTTACTGATTTGAAAAACATATAATACAAATAATAACATTTAATGTCAGTTTAATAAATTTAGTCCCGATAATCTTCTCTATTATAAGTGTCCTTAAACTGTGACAAATTGTAATATTTCTGAAAAAAAAAAAAAAAAAAAAAGTCCCGATAATAGATCAAAATTAATAAATATTAACTAAATAGCATTTAGTAGAAGGGAACCAAAACACAAAATATGCAATAAATTAGATATGATTTTGAATATGTGATTTAAATACGACCTACGACAGTATGATAAGATAAGAGCTGTATGAGGGCATGGTAGAGCTTGGTATTCGATGGAAGATAGTTCGCCTTATGAGAATGACTATGGAAAAAGTGGAATATACGGTGAAGATACAAGAAGAAATATCTAAGGTGACTGCATAGCTTGCCTCCTGTTTACCTTTCCCTGGAGTTTGCTGTAAGATCTCATGTACAAGTGGGAGGAACTATTTTAAATAGATCAACGCAGATACTGAGCTTTGCTGAAGGCCTAGACATGGAGGATTATTTGCAGCCATGAGGGATGCCTTCCTCGACCTTGAAAAAGCTGCAGCAAGGCTTTGTCACTTTATAAACCAAACCAAGACCAAGTATATGAAGAGGAGTACGAAGTTAAACAAGGGCAGGCACAAGAATTTGGATATACAAATTTACCTTCCAATGGGTAGAATTAATTTACCTGGGTATTCTGGTAAACTCCTACGACATAAGATCTTTAATTGACCAAAGAATAATTGCTTCCAAGAGGTACTATTTCGTCCTTCAGAGACAGATAAAAAAAAAAATCCTTTCCTGATCAACAAAACTATGCTTTTAGAAGACCAGTACTAACCTACGGTTCAGAATGCTGGACTATAAAACTATAAAACCATCGAGCAGGTCTTACTTCGATATGAACGCCGAATCCTTCGCAGAATATTAGGCCCAATTTGGGCGAATCAAGAATGGAGTCAGAGAACGAATGTACAACTGTAGAAACTTTTCTAGGAGAGTAACGTAGTCAGATGAACAGCTATTTGGAAGACCAATTGAAGACCCAAATTGCGTTGGGCTGGTGATATAGGGGCTTATGAGAGATCCATCCTAAATATATGATTGGAAATCTACTGCTTTGAATAAAAATGACTGGAGACTGCTGTTACAGGAGGCCTTGACTTCACGTGGGCTGTAGCGCCAAAGAAGAAGTTTGTTTGTTTGTTTATTTAAGGAAATTTACAACTGTATATAAATACAACCAGTAAATATGCACAAATTAGAAATAATGACATGAACAGGCTTGAAGAGATACTACCCCTTCCTTCTATATGGACACATACTACCCTATATCCCTATATCATTTAGGTAGCACTTCCTAAATGATTCTAGGTAAGAAGATCACGAGGCCATCTCCTTTTGAGATGCTAGGAGGATTATCAGGAATCGGGAAAGAAGAAAGACTAGAAACAAGTGGATTCGGATTGGACTGGAGTTTATCATGAAAGGATAGATATCTGCCTCAGGCTAAATCAGCGACATATGGTACATTCACTTTCAATTTATTTTCATCATCGTACGTAGAAGAATATTTAAATACGATTATTGTGTCCTCACTAACGAAGATAGAGAAGCTTTGTATTCGTACGAAAGGTTAAAAAAAAATGTATGTTAAGAATCGAAAATTTTCACTCACGTTTTACGTTTCAGACATCGAGGATCAAATTTGGTTCAGCGTTTGTCTGTCTGTAGTCAAATCGCTGTAATGGGCATATCACCTACTTACCGTTTATCTGATTTTCATGAAATTTTCAGATATTGTGTGGTCTTGCGCCTAGATGGTTCCATACCAATTTTATCAAATTTCATCCAGCACTTCCACTAGCGCACTGTAATGCTTTTCTTAGATATACTAATGTTTTATAAACGGCTCGTTCAATTTGGC